TAATTTACCAGGTCATCATGCAATAACTCGTTCAACCTTGCTGCCCCAAGACTTTTATAACAGGGATGGAAACTGAGGTATCATGATTCCAAAATGCACACATGCAGCCTCCCTCGTCATCAAGCTATATGCCCTCTTTACAAGATGTAGTACTCTAATAACGGCATAATGATGTCATGCCTTGATTTGTGTTTGATACTAGTTTTATTTCCAGGAACAAATAGATTAAAAGAATATCCAGTAATTGAACTTTAATTACTCAAATACCATCAGACTAACCTCAGAAGTTAAATTTAATGTTCTGGGTAGCAATTCTAAGCCAGATACTTTTTCTTTGTAGATTCACAATAAGGTGATCTTATAAGCATAAAGTCTATCTTATTTTAACATAGCATGAGCCAAATAGGTCTGCAATTCTGCAGGAAATCTGGGCTTCTTAGAAGAGAAAGTGTAGTCTTGTCACTAATCTTTTCATTTTGCCTACTTCTTTTCTTACAGTGTTTAATCCTGTTTCTTCTCTCTCCTAACAGCCAACACTGACATAACTGCCCTCTGTATACTTACTCCATTATGAATTTCCAAAGGACTGTGTCCTCTTTACCTGAAAACAAAGATCTTACCAAAATAATCTATATCTCTCAACAGAGAAAAAGAAAAACTAAAAATGACAACTTTTAGACTGAATTCTCAGCACTGGATCCATAATAGTCTATTGAGCTGCCAGACAAGCTACTAGACTGGCCTAATTTTTGCTATAAAATATTTGTTTTATGTACTAGTTCCCTATTTTTATCATGTGACAGCAACCACTAGGAAACCCAATTTTCCAAGTGACCGAATTCACTGGTAATTCACAAGGAAAATTCTGCTTCCTCACTGATTCAAGCCACTTAACCGCCAAGTTTAATATCTGGTTTCCTATGTTCTCTATGAAATGTTATAGTGCATAACACATTTTGGATTTACAGTGGGAAATCAATACTGTAAAGTAGTCTCATAACTGCATAGTGGAATTTCTTTGTGGCTGTTTTCACCAGCCAAAGCTGTAATTGTCATGGTTTTCCTAATAAATAGACTTGCCATATGCATGGTGGGGATTTATTCCACAGTAGCTTATTCTTCCCCCAATTTGTTATCTAGCTGTTTTTGTTTAAAGGTTGAGAAAGTTTGCCTAACATATGAAATTATATTCTGTTCAGAGAGGCAAACATTGCAGAGAAGCATATGGTTTATAACGGAGTAAGACTGTTTGGCTTAGAAATCTCTCCAAGCTTCTAGGAGTTAAAGCTTTTCAATGCATGTCTATGACCCAGGTTATTAACATTCTAACCGTGTACTCTTGTTCTTCTGGGAGCTCGCTAGCAAACAGCTTCCATCAGTGCTTGATCCCCTCGATCCATCCTGGCAGCACCCTCAGAGCAGAAGCATTTTCCAAACTAAAGAGACTGTACTTGCTGCAGCAATCCATACCGGAAAATGGCATCTGAACCCTAAAGCTAAGAAAGCACTTTTGAGCCTAAGCTTCCCATTTCCTCTGACAGGTTATTATAAAACTTACTCTGCATTGCACTAAAAGAACTCTAAGGATTTCCTGAGTCTCATAAGACTCAACAAGTTTCAATGTACCCTCCATTTAAAGACTTAAACTTTTTGCTCCTTTATAAAGGCATCCCCGTCTGTCTCTCACCATTAATAACTGGTTAAGCACTACCTCAGAAATACAGCCACTGCTGTTTTGTTTTTTTCCCATGTGTCCAAAAGAATAACAATGCAAAACTACAGGACAAGTTTACAGAAACATTGCCTTTCCTTTTCAATTTTAACAGCACATTAACTAAAATTATCTCCTCATAGTACCCAAAATACACACAGAAATAAAAGCATGTGTGGTATAATTTAAATATCCTACATATTTAGTAAATAACAATAACTTCTCTAGTCAAAATCTAGAGATCTTCATTCTGGCTATGGAACCAGAGGAATAAAATGAATTTGCATCCAAATGTACATTGGAATTCACATTTGAACATGGATGCCACTGACCCCCCCTCCACACTACATTCAGTCAGATGTGCATTTAAACATGCAACCAGTAATGCAGAAATACCCTTTTTAAGCATAACTAGAGATGGATCAGAGGAATATCATTCTGATCTCACCAAAGGCTAATAGAAGCAGCAATAGCAAAAACCTACGTATTTTCTCTGTCTTCATCTTACTCTCTCTGTCACTCACTCACCCACATGTGTATGTGTGTGCGCATGCGTACACACACTGATTGCAAAACACAGTCTTTCCAAATCTTTCTTTTTATCTATAAAAAATAAAAAATAATACAATGACAAATACTTTTAATAATGATTTCTTTAACCATTTATTATGCTATTCTTTCTAATAATGTTTGCCTCTTGGGATGGCTGACTCACTGGCTTATTGTATTTCAAGACACAGGTATTAATAAATACAGATAAGTGATGACTTTAAAAGCCTGCCTTTACATCCTGCTTGCCTGTTGGCTCTTTTCATGCACTCCTTTGTAATACATGCTTCCTTTCAAAGGCAGCATAGGATAAGTTAGGGTTGCGGCCTCAGCCATGGCTGAAGTAACATCATTCTAACATGAAAAGAAAATGAATGCTTGTGCCGGCCTAATTTGTACAGTTCTGTAAACAATCTGAACATGGCTTGACTCTCAATGAAATCAAACTGGACTCTTCCACTGATTTAAATGTGGGCTGGTCTAGACACCCACATCTACCTTGCATAGTTTGTTTAAATCTGTGAAACTATGCAAAATAGTAATCTGGAGTGAGTATGCACCAATTACCTGGTACAGAATAATTTGACAAATGTATCAACATGAAGTGACTTCTGACACTACATTCTGTATTCATCACAATACTTAAAACAATTCCCTTGAATATATAAAAGCATTTCACTAGCCTTGTTATTGTTCACAGACAGTTCTGTGAATATCTGTGGTTACCACTCAATCACTACAACATCTAAAATTTAACTGTATTTGAAAACAACCATATCAAATTCACAATGTAAAGCTTTCCTTGGACCTGACATTATTGCAGGACTGCAAATACCAAATGTGTTTCAATAGAAGCAGCTCAGATTTTCAGGCACCATGTTTGGATTTTTAAGTGCTATGACCAAGGGTGTGAATGGCTAAAACTAGATTCCTAATATTGGAAGTTAATAGTTTCTGAGCAAATTACATTGAAAATCCACTTTAATTAAATATTTCTACATTCACCAACAGGAGGAAGCAGGGAGGAATACAGGAGCTGTATGGTGGACATAATACTATTGAAAGAACAATAAAGTGAGGGCACTGTTGAAGGATAGTGGTGTGACTACTATGCTTCTAACCTGAGAGTAGAAGCCTTTGTACCACAGCAGACTCCGTATTGACTAGTTTCAGGTTTAGGGAAAATCTCAGAGTCATAGAACTAACTCTTAAGAAGCTAATACTGCCATGCTTGAAACTAGCCCTAGTGTGTCCAATGGGTCTTACCCTAACAAGTACACTTAAATGTTCCTGATATAAAATTCAGCCATATATTCACTGAGTGGAGCTAGGCAAGCCCTTTTTTAGCTTTGTCCACCACTTGTAATAATGAGGATAATAAAACTGGGATTCTTTACAAGGTTGCTGTCAAAATTACAACAATATATATCAAGTGGTTTGGGCACTTAGGAAGAGATGGCATGGTTACTAGGGATTAATTTGTCATACCCTGATGTCTCCGTCCTTCTGGTGCTAGGCCAGGCACAGCTCAGCATGATCAGAATGTATTGAACTTCATTTTTGAACAACTACCATTACCACAAGATCTCATGGATTAAGAGGAAAATTGTGGCTTCCTTATCCTTATGGAACTGCATCTAATAATGTCAGGGAAATGCCCCCTTTTCTCCCCCTCTCTTTCTTAACTTACTATAAAACAAAACTGTGTTCTCTAATGCAACTATTTTCTCAATCTGCCCAGATAGTGCCACTGATACAAATGGAAATATTTCCTATTTTACTTAAATACTATGGAGAAGAAACAAAACATAAGGGGAGCAGTGGCCATGTTCTCATCAGGACCTTAAATCTTCCTTTAAATAAATAACAATTCATTTTCTGTTCACTTTACGCAAGAGGAGAGAAAATATTAGAGCTTGAAGCACTCACTTTACATACTAATCAAAACCATTAGGATCCAAAAGTTTGCTGAATAAAAAATATAATAGCCATTTCTATTTGCTGTTAATTTTGCCTAGCTGCAAATGCTAAAATGAACAGCAAATTATCCTTGCCTTGGAAGAGATATCTGTTCACAGCTGATATAATCTCCTATGGCTTGTAAACATTCCACACACCTTGTTTATGCTTTGCTGGCTTTCACTTGTTCCCCACCAAAGAGAACAAGAGAAAGTATCTCACAGTATTTTTCAGTATATTAAAGGAATAGTTGGACTCTAAAGGGAGCACTCCATGTCAGTGCTGTTCTTTGTATGTATGTGTTTAGTGTTGTCTGAAAATAACAAAACCACTAAAATATAAAAAGGGAGAGGTGGGGGATTGAACTTGATTCTGTCATTATAAGTATCATTTTCTCCCTTTCTCTTTCATCCATGTGCTTTACTCACTGAAGAAGTTCCAGTGGGATACTTTCTATGACTGGCTGCAATACTAAGCAAACTCACCGGGGAATAAGCTCCATTTAACTCAGCGGTACTTCTGAGTAAACATACATAGGATTGTGCTAAAATCCTATAACAAGGCCATTTGGATTCTATAAAGAATTATAGAAGATTTGCAAGCAAGTTGAGAGCTCAGAATTGTTCGATTATATCAGAGTTAGCATTTGCAACTGGTACAGGTTATTTTTTAAAGCTGTAATATTTCATAATCGTATGTAATCATGAACAAAAGCTTTTCAAAACTGTTTTCACTGTGCTAAAGTAACAATCTAGACTTGTTGTAAGTATGTTATTCTTACAAGTAGTTCGCAGTTATTCTTGAAGGCAAGTCTTGGAGTTTCCTTAGCATAGTGCTGCTGGGGAAAATTTTCAGCATGTCCATCTTCATCTCTAGCCTGAAGGGAAATATAATGGCCTATTTAGGGACTTATAAATAATGGAAGAAAAAATACGCTAAATGCATAACAGCTCAGATCATTAAAACAAACGGGAATTCCAAAATACAACAATATTAAGAAGTTTCCTTTAATACGCAGTACACTTTTTAGATACTATGAGTGCTCTTTACACCATTTTTAAAAATCATGCAAATAGATTCTGGTGTAAGAGTTAAAAACAACAAAGAACAAGCCCCAAATGAAGCATTTCAGTTGGCTGTTTTCAGTGTGGAACAGTGCAATCCTGGGCATGCCTGTTCAAAAGTAAGTCCCATTAAATTCAGTGGTGTTTACTCCCAAGTAAGGGTGCATAGGATTGGAGATTTAGGGTTTAAGTTTACTTTGCTGCATTTAGAGGACTGTATTACATATATGCTGCAGGTTTTTTTTTAACCTTTAAAATGTTCAACCAATAATCTGCCACTTTTTAAGAAACAAGGTCATTCTCTTAAAACCGGTTTTCATATTCATGATTTACACATTAACACTATTAAATGGATTTCCTCTTAATTCTTTAAGTAAAGATCTGAACCAAGTGGTCATTAAGTGAGGGCAATCAAATATGTAGAAAATATTTAATTTAAGAAAATGCATTAAAAGTTATGGGTCATTTTGATCTACAGTGTTAATTAAGGAAGCTGAAGTTTAAATGGAGACATTAATGCAATCCATTAAGAACTATACCGCTCGCATGCAGCATTTTCTTTCTAATCTACAACATATTCTGGTTTAGAATTAAAGCAAAGGGAGAAGTAGGTGAAAGGAGGAGTGTCGGCAGCATGCTCATTACACCATTCATTTGGATGACACTTGCACTCTCTTCCACTCTCATCTCATCTAATCCCTGACTGTGCGCTCTCCTTCTCTCCCGGCCTCCTGAAATTCACAGCTGAGCTGTCCCCCTCACATATGGCTTGCATATAATTGTGCATATTCCATTTTACACTGCATTAAAATGATGAGCCTCTGGCTTCAGGCCAGCTTATTTAAATAAGACCCAGTGAACTTGTGGTGGTGGGGGGAGAGGAAGAGGCAGACGGGAAATATATACAGCAAGCTGCAGGTAGTTCTGTCTCCTGTTTGTAACATTATGTCTATATCTGTTCTAAAATGGGGAATGGAAAATGTCCTGATGTGAAATACAGCTGAAAAGTGTATGTGGAAATAAAATCTGCATTTAAGAACCTAAGTGCATAGACATGTCCCTTCCTTAATGCATGTCTATTTCATATGTCACATCACAGAGGTTTAATTCTTGCTAGTCTTTTCATTGGTAAGATATATCTGCACACTGTCCATTTTGTGTCTTGTTTCTTGCTTTCAGAAAAGTTGCCTCTCCTTAACTGTAGAAGCAAAAGAAACAGAAGCTGGAGGTCATAATTTTGCCAAGGGGACTGAAGTTTGACAAATTGCACAGTTTGTAAGCCACCCAGCTCAACATAGCTCACATACAAATTTTATCCTTCCTCACCCAACTCACAAACAAACACCACCAAATGACCTGTTTCTGTGATCCCAGGAAAGCAGCAAAAAGGGAAGGTTAACTGAGATTAATCGAAGTGTTGGGGAAGTCAATGTAATGAATCCTACCAGTAGTAAAGAACTTTAACTGTTTACTTTGTGGCCTAGGATAGTACCAAGAGGGAAACACAGCTTTCTCATATCTATACATGTATGTTACCATTCCTTTTCTATAAATCTTACAGGACTAAATTATATGAGATAGGCAGATCCATAATGTTTCCTCCCATTTTAAAAAAAATAGAATGCAAACTTGGAAGGCTGAAACTCAGGACAGAGGGTCAGAAGAGAGGGCCTGCTTATGTCCAGTGTTAAATATGATATTTTGGCCTAATTCACTTGACAGTTTATAAAGGCAAGGGCAGTTCACAGTGCAGGCAAGAAACCAGAGACCATCAGAAAGCAAATAACAACTGGCAGGATCCAAGCACTAAAGATTGCTCCCAGGTAATTTGCTCCAACAGATTCTAGAGCCTGCCCTAAATCTGCCTCCCCTTTCTTAAGAAAAAGAAGACCTCATAAAGAAGTGGCATCCCGGCCTACAGGCTTGTTTCCTCATGGAACTTTTGCAGACTTTGCCAACTTGGTAGCCACCAGATGTGTTGGACTAAACTCCTGTAACCTCCAGCCATCATCATCGATGTTCATGATGTGCGTATGATGGGAGCTGCACTGCAGCACTTCTGGAGGGCACCCACTTCAGGAAGGGCATTCTGTTGGCATCCTTGACGAGCAAGTGTCAGGGAAAGCGCAATTTTGTTTAAAGTATGTGGCAGTTCTGTGAGAGGCTTGGACACACTATTTTCAGGTGACCCATGCAAAGGGGTCCAGATAATATAGCCTGATCTAGTATCAATCCCTGCAATTTATTCATGGATGGGATCCTTGTCTGGCTTTCTTGAGGACTTAGCTACAAGACCATAGCATACTCCCTAAACCATCTAGCACCTTCCCAGGGACAGTGCCCAAGTATTTGCTTAAGTCTAGGTAATTTTAGAATCTCTTCCTTCCTGCTATTTGCCTGTTCAAAATAATTCTGCCCTCCCCAATATGCATAATGAGTAGGAGAGCAATTCTGAAAGGACAAATACATCATGTATAATAATTTAATCAATTCTCTGCTACAAGACAGTCACTAGTGCAAAAGGCTTTTAAAAGGGATTTCATAAGTGTGGCTCACTCGAAATTCTCCCACATGTTGAAATATTGTGTAGGACAGAGGGACATGCTGCAGGGATGCAGGAGCTAGCCAATGGCAGAAATACTTCCCCACTGTGGATGTGTTTGGACAGCACAGGAAAGAGGTGCACATGTACAACAACATATGGTTGCATATTTATAGAGCTCTTTCATACACAAATGGATACCGGCCAATCTGGGTCTCTCTTTTATAGAGGAAAGTCATGAGTCCCTTTCTCACAATGTCTAAATGGTATATGGCAGGGAAGCATTTTTGTGTCCCCATCAGGTTTGATGGTCATGCATGACATAATGGTGCATGCAGCTAATATATGTAATCCCACAGCCTTCCTCACATTTACTTGCAATATGTCATTGGGTTCATGTGAGCTACCTTAAAATTGTGAAGGTAAAGTCTACTCACTTCTAGTTACCATGGCTGTAATAAATATCCTGGTCCAGTAGCAATGTATGCCAAGTCCATCCAAACACAGATCCAGATATGAGAAATTCATCATATAGAACAAACTAAGACAACTTCAGGGGGTCTGGTGCCACAGGTGCCATTGCAAAGGCAAATAAAAGAAAAGCAAAATGGTACTTACAACTGCTATGGAGTGGCAAAAGGACCAAATTAGTTTACAAACAATGTCATTATGATCCTTTCTATGTTGCACAGCAGCTCAAGATGCCATTTGGTTACACTTTCGTTCTTTTCAGGGGTGGCAACCAATAACAACTGATGGGGTCCACCATGTTTTTGTCAGAGTCACCATTTTACTTTTCCTACAATGCCTCAAGTTATACAACAATTGAAGGACTGCGGGGAAAACAATTGTGGGAAACCAAAATTGTGGCTGCAGTGTGCAGCCATTAGTGCCCTGGGCTCCACTGGGTTGTAGGATGCCCAAAAGCTGCCCACAAATGTTGATGCTGCCCTGATCAAAGCTGGTGGCTGTTGATGTGTATGCAGATTTCCACTCCACAGGACAGTCTTGACTTCTCAATTTCCCAAGTATTGCATTAACAATACATGTTTGCTCACAGAGTAATGCAAACTTACTCACAAAATGCACTAACAATGGAAGCTTACTCAGAAAGTTGGAATGAGAAGCAATAGGACTGAATTGGCACAGCACATTTCTGCATTAGATTAGCTAAAAAGATTGAAATGAACTAATCCGCCTGCAATGGCCTAAGCATGGGTGATACCTTGGGATCATACAGAATTTATCTATCTTGTTTATATAGCTGGAGACATGCAAACAAGTGTTCTGAAGCTAAAGCTTTTCTAGACCACCAGCCAAGGACAAAACCCAGTACCCATCCCTAAGTTCTAGTTAAATTGCATCAATCTGACAAAAATCAAAACTATGGAACAAACATCCCATGGTGCAAGCATGGCCACTGAATCATGGGTGGGCAGGAATACTCTCTCAGCCCAAATACAAAATGCATGGGAGTCAGACATGCATGCCAAGTCCATTCAAACACAGTCAATATCACCACAGCACGCAAAGGGTCCTACGAGACCTGATGCCTAGCTGCTTTCTTGAATCTTCTGGGTGCAAGACTAAGCTAAGTGGATATTAGAGTAATTTTCAAGCTGTTAAAATTATCTATCTGCACAAAGCAGAATTAGTTAATAAAGGGGTGGTTGTACCATATACAAGTATTTTTACTTACTCATTGCTCCAGTGAAAAATAGTGGGTAAACTTCCCTATTTCAACAGTCAGTCCTACTGACTCCAGGAGTAAATTCTTCAAAGGAATCATGACTAGGATTATGCCGTAAGAGCTTAATACTTTTGAGTCTCTTCAAATGAAATCTCATGCCTTACTAACAAGTTAAAACTTAACAGATCAGTGGGTCCAGACAGTATCTTATCCAAGTTTTCTTAAAGAACTAAAATGTGGCACTGCTTACCTTCTAAAAAATATTATCCCTATTGTCCCCCAGAACTTGTCCCCAAGATGGGATGGGATGGGCTTCCATATACAAGGGCTGGATAGTGGGCATTTAAGGGCCAGGTAACTTAATGTCTGCAAACAGCTGGGACATACAGGCAACAAAACCCACCCTGACAATCCTTGGCTTATTGTTGGGGTTGTCAGGACCTTATCCCTTTTTTTCAGAGAAAAAGTGAGCTCTGATTTCCCAGCTAGTGAAAATCCCTCCAGAGTGCCTAAGTGGCACATTCAAGGGGGGCTGCCACTGGTCCATCACCCCTTTCAAAAATGTGCCCAGGTTGCTGACG